TCTAGACGTCACTGGTGCTACCTAAGGAGCCACCAGTTAACCAGTGTCTATTTTAGTTTCCACTTGGGGTCTCAAAGTATTTTCCACAGAGATTTTGTTTCAAATCGTTTCCAGTTGGAGCCAAGATCTTTATTTGCCTGCACCACTCATCTTTTAGCAATCTGCATTTTAATTAAGACCCTAAACTGATTTTTTATGATTTAATTTTATTGTAATTTAACTTGTAAATGATAAACTGTTCTTACACGGCTCCTTTCTGTCTGATCAAGACACTCAGAGCTCTTTACAACAATCTGTGCCTCGTTCACCCGTTCATACAGCTCTATACTAGATCTCAACAAAGACTAATCAGAGCTTCGTCATGTTCAGACACATGGGACACACCAGAGGTAATGAGGGGTTCAGTGTCTTGCCCAGGGACACTTGGCATGTGACTGTTGGTGGAATCAAACCCCCAACTTTTGCATCGGAGGACGGCTGCTCTAACCACTCAGCCACAGCCGCCCCAATAATCGATATCAAAGTTTCATCCGAGTCTGAAGGGACCCTGAGCACCAGCGGTTGTACCTTAGTTAAAAACCACAGGTTTGATGCTTTAAGAGACGGCTGTGGTAACGACGGTAAGCCATTAGTTTTTCAGTAAATCCTTTTCTTTGTCTTTTATTTCAGGTGACCACAACCTGGCCAGGTATTCTTGGAACATCTCCGCAGCTGTTAACAGCCATGTCGTCTCCAGCGCTGATGAACCTTCTTCGATGCGGTCGCGCCTCCGTCGCCAGACAAACGTTCTTAGCTGTGCTATCGTCACAGGAAGCCTCCATGCCGTCTGGACAGGTGACTCTGTTCCCCGCACGTCCTTGCACGGTCCTGTCCGGGTGGAAGACGACAGTGATCTGTCTGGACATCTGCGACGGTCGTGTGATCTGTAGTCACGACCCCTCTAGTAGTCAGTGATGGTTCCGGTCAGGTGGTCATCGTCTTTTTAAAGACTAAAATATAATTTAGTGTCAGTGTGTATCACTAGTCAGAATAAACAATGATGTGTTCAGTTTTAGGTATTGAATTCATTCAACCTTTATTTATACAGGTTAATCCCATCGAGCTTCGGGGACTCGTTTACAAGAGAGACCTGTACATAACAAGTACAAATACAAATAACATGTTTCCATAGTAACCTAGAGCAGATGAGGTAAATGACGACTCTAAAGTATTTTTCAGCCATCAGAATTTCTCAGAACCAAAGGGCCGGGTGCCATCACTTGGTTGCATTCTGCAGCTTTACCACTAGATGTCAGCATTTCTCTTGTTTAGCCATGAAAACGCTGCAACATTTAGCACGTTAACAACTGGAGATCTAGTTCATTTTATCATCCAGAACTTTTATTTAACTGAGAAAAAACAAGTAATGGACAGATTTATGAAGGAGTTGTTTTTGGACCGTATTTTAAAATTTACGGTTCGTTAAAAAAGAAAGCTGACTCGTAAAATGTGACCTATGATGTATTTATCTGTAGGTTTTCTGTGTAAGCACGTCCTCAGTTCTCTGAATACCATGATAATTTTAGATCATTTGAATAATTTTTGCATCTAATTTATGAACAGTTTTTAAAAATTCCCATAATTTAATATTCAGGACGAGCTCGGTCTGTTGCTCCCAGGTATTGTTTTGGTAACGCGTGTTCACTTTTAACAGGTTTTTACTCGACACACGTAATCCTGTCCTTAATTTACCTTGCGTTTTGTCCCGCAGGTGGGCGGGGCCTTGTTAGGGATGGCGGGTGTGCGACGGGCCAGCGGGTCGGTCCGGTTTGACGGCAACAGCAGCGGACAACCAGTAGCCTGGGACTCATTTGGGATTTGGGACAACCGGATAGAAGAACCAGTGTTGCTGCCGTCCAGTATCAAATATGGAAAACCCATTCCACAGGTGCAAAATCACTGGAAGCACCAAAGACTAGATTAATAATGAGAAGATCCGAGTTATCACACGTATGTTTGAAGGTTGAACAGGTTTATCTTCCTCTCAGGTCAGTCTGTCTCGGGTCGGCAGCGCATCGGTTTTGGGTCTCAGGAAGCAGAACGAGGACCGTCTCCGTATCGCCCGTATCCACGACAACCTGCTCTACTTCGCCGTGTTCGACGGCCACGGAGGCCCGCACGCTGCCGACTACTGCTACACGTTCATGGAGAAATTCATCAGGTTGAGTTTCATGAAATGACCTTCATAATAAAACACCCTGAACGCACTTGTGACCCCTGCTGGACGTTTTGGTGCAGAGACGCTCTGGAGGAGGAGAGCGACCTGGAACAAGTTTTAGCGAAAGCCTTTTTGGATGTGGACGAGGCTCTGCACACTCACCTGAGCTACTTCAACAACGGTAAGACACGAGCTCACCACATGATTTGGGAACAGAGTAAAAAATGCATGTGCACGATTGTCCGCCTGTCATGGCAGTGGGCGATAATTACCCCCGGTGGAAATCATTTGAACGCCTCATTAAGTTGACGTTTGTTTCACCGACTGCTGATTGATCTGGAATTCACGCCTCCCCCCCCAGCCTCCTTTCTGACAGCGGGAACCACGGCGACGGTTGCTCTGTTACGTGACGGCGTGGAGCTGGTGGTCGGCAGCGTCGGCGACAGTCGGGCGCTGCTGTGCAGGAAAGGACAGGCCGCCAAGCTGACGAAAGACCACACACCGGACCGCGAAGACGAGAGACAACGGTACGAGTCCTCTTAGTCCAACTTCATTGCAGCCATGACCTCAAGACCTTACCCAACTCACTTTACGACTTATAGACGTCTTTTCAACCCACATGGGGTTTTCCCATCGTCTGTGGACAGACGTCGGTAAACGAGCAGCATAAACTGAAGGGACTTTATAGTTTGTCTAAACTCATCAACCTGTCCTTGTCATCTCCACAGCTGGACGATGTCTGCCCAACCAGCTCGCGGTGCACAAAACAACTGAATTAAACCGTATTTGTACTCAAAATCTAAATCTGATTCTCCGTTCGGTGGTTCAGTGGTTCCTGCGAGGAGCTGAAGCTTCAGAGCAGATGAAAGACCGGAGCAGCTGGGTTCAGGTTTCCCAACAGCTGAAGGGCTCGTTGGGTATAAATAGAGTGACCCCAACATTCATGACGTTCAGCCAGATGCTGACATGAGCCGAGCTACAGGTCGAAAGCTGTGGGATTCCCTTCGGCTCAAAGCAGCCGGAGTTATGCAACAGCCGAGAGAGCTAACGTTTAGCTGTGCTCGTCAAACTCAAACGAACAAAGTCATGAACCGTTTGTCATCTGGTGTCAGCACCAGCATAAATGATTTTCAGATGCAGCTTGTTCTCACTGGGGTCGTGGTTCATTTTGACCCAAGGGCAGCAGGAGGGTGACACCTCCCGAGTGGATGATATTTAAGGTGGACGTACGACACCAAGTCCTGTGATCCTGCAAGAAAAGATGTTTTGGAAACTCCTTCTCGAGTTTTCTTTGTCATTTGTTTCCATCAGTCGCAGCCCAGTGACATGAATTTACTCTGATTTTACAGAAGTTCTGAGAACTCAACCACAGTTCGGACTTTACCGACCGCCCATGTGCGTCTTTACTCTGAGTCTTTAACCTGACAGCAACTCTTCCTGTTTGGTGTTCAGGATCCAGAGGTTTGGGGGCTTCTTGTCGTGGAACAGTGTCGGTCAGGCAAACGTTAACGGGCGGCTCGCCATGACGCGCAGCATCGGAGACTTCCACCTCAAACCAAGTGGCGTCATCGCAGAGCCGGAAACGAAACGAGTCACCGTGAGTCCCAGAGCGGCGTTGCACAATGTCTTCTTCTTACAACCTGCCCTGTTACGTCCGAGTCCTCTCTGATGACCGGCTCACGTCAGAGGGAACGTCTCTGCAGGTCCAACACGCCAACGACTCCTTCCTGGCTTTGACCTCGGACGGGATCAACTTCCTGCTGAACGACCAAGAGATCTGTGATGTCATCAACCAGTGCCATGACCCCACCGAGGCTGCAGAGGTCATCTCTGAGCAGGTAGGTTCATGAATTCATGGCACGTCCGTCATCTAAACAAACGGAACAAAATGAATCATTTTACTACAAACAGTCAAAAACTGAAACTACTTTTGGTTTAGGATGGGAGGTCTACAACCTTTACAATCCATAGTCTTTTCTTCTTCTCTGGTTAAGTAAAACCATAGCTGTTGCAACTATTCCTTTGGAACCCCCCCCCCCCCCCCCCC